CAAGAGGTGAGTTTCGAAAGGAGATATTTGGAGTATAGTTTTCCTATAAAGGATAGGAGACTGATGGGTCTGTAATTGTTTGGGAGGGAGGGGTCACCTTTTTTGAAGATTGGAACGATAGTTGAGGAAAGCCAGGAAGAGGGGATAAAGCCGGAGTTATTGATAAGAGTAAAGAGGTTAGAAAGGAAGGGGGACCACCATGAGGGGTTGTTGAGTAGGAATTCGGGGAGGATACCATCTGGGCCAGGGGCTTTCCGGGGTTTCAGGGAAGAAATCAGCTCAGTAATTTCTTCTGGGGTAACCGGGGGCCAGGGTGGGAGGTTGGGAGGAGGGGCAGAATTGGTTAGAGTAGAGCGGGGGGAAGTAAAGATTGTAGAGAAGTGCTCAGTCCAAGCAGAAGCTGGTATGAGAGTCGACGGGCAGGGAGCAACAAGAGGAGATGAGCGGGAGACCAGGGCCCAGAATTGTTTATGGTTATTGGTTTGGATTGCGTGATATAGTAGGTTCCAGCTTTGTTGAGCCGCAGAGTGTTTCTTGGATTCTAGGAAGGAGGTGCAAGCTTTCCTGAGCAAGAAATAGAGGTTCAGCCTGTCGGGGGAAGGGTTGGGTTGAAGTGAGCGGAAGAATTGTCTAATGAATTTTTTGCAGCCCAGCAGTCTGCATCAAACCAAGAAGAAGTTGGGAGTTGGGAGTGGGGTGTAGGGGAGGGACGCAAAGTGGGGGAAGCTTACTAGAGCTGTATGGCATGACAGTGGGGAGGTTGGGTGGGATGTGTGAATCACAGAGGTCCACTCAAAGAACTACAATTACAGGTGGGTAACATGTCATTCTTCTTCATGGCCTCTGTGAATCATACCCTGGATGACTAGCAAACTGTCTTACCCGGAGGCAGGGTGTCATGCCAAGGTAAAAGCTAGAAGAGCACGTCCAAGACCACATCAGACTTCTGCCGAACATCAAGTCTATAGTGCCTGATGAATGTGGACAGCTGTGACCATGTAGCAGAAGCGCAGATGTCCCGAAGAGGTATGCCACGGAGCAACACCGTGGAAGCTGCCGCTGCCCTGGTGGAGTTGAGGGTGAATCACCCGAGGAGCTGGTTTTTGAGCAATCTGGTACGCGAGGTGAATGGTTGAAGCAACTCATCTAGAAATCGTCTGTGACGTCACCTGAAGATCATTGGTAGGAGGTTGGTGACAGACAAAAAGGTGAGGTGAACACCAGAAAGATTGTGTGCGTGCCAAATTGAAGGCAGGTGCCCTCTGAACATCCAGAGTGTGGAGGATCTTTTCTTGAGTTGAAGATGGTGATGGAAAGAAGGAGAGGAGGACCAGTGGTTGGGATAGGTGAAACTGGGATAAAACTTTAGGTAGGAAAGAGATATCAGCAGATGACTATATTCGGAAAAAACTGCAAGTAAGGATAGTCATGTCATAAGGATGCTAAATCACTGGCCCGATGAGCAGATGTAATGGCAATCAGGAAGGCTGTTTTGAATGTAAGTAGCCAAAGATCAGTTAAAGCTAAGGGCTCAAAGGGAGACTTGGTGAGCTGTTGCAAGACAAGAGTTAGAGACCATTGTGGGGAGGGTGGACAAACATCTGGATATATATGAGACAATCCCTTGAGAAAGTGTTTTATCATAGCATGTCTGAAAAAACGTGCCACTGGAGAATTTGGTGGTTGATAAGAGACAATTGCCAAGAGGCAAACCCTTAAGGAGGAAAGGGAGAGGCCTCCAGTTTTAAGATGGAGTAAAAAATCAGAAAACAGTGGGGAGAGATGGGTTGATGGAAGACAATTCAGTGGTTTCAGTGAAGGATTGAATTCTTCTACATTTGCATAGGTAAGCTTTTTTGGTCAAAGGTTTCTTTGCTTGATGGAGGACATCCATCAAGGAGGCAGAATCCTCCACGCTGCCAGGTTCAGAGCAGGTAGGTCAGGGTGGAGCACCTAAGAGTTGTTCTGCATGAGCAGGTATGGTAGATGGGGGAGGTGGTGAATGTCTGATGACAGGTTGTGGAGAACTGCGAACCAGGGTTGCCTCAGCCACCAAGGGGCTATAACGATGGCATTGGGTTTGTCCTGTTGCAGGTGGACCACTACTTTGTGGAGGAGCAGAAATGGTGAGAACAGGGTCTTGAGCCAACAACCGATGAACATGTCTCCCTGGGAGTGTTTGCCATCTCCTGTGCAGGAGCAATAGTGTTTGCACTTCCGATTCTTGCGGGAAGCAAACAGGTTGAGAGTTGGTTCGCCCCAATGCCTGCAAAGAAGGAGGAAAATTGACTGGACCAATTCCTATTTGTGAGCTTGTGAGTCCGTCCAGCTGAGGTCTGCCAGGTCATTGTCTTGGCTGGCTATGTGTAGAGCTATGAGGCAGATGTGATGTGACAGGCACCATTCCCTTGTTTAA